CGTTCTTTCTTTCTTTCTTTCTTTCTTTGAGAAAAATTTTCAATTTTGATGGGCCTAATTTATCTTTTTTTCCTTGCTTTTTGATGTCCCATATAAGAACTCTTTCTAGCCCTGGATCTTGAATATTTTCTCCTAAAAAATTTATAGTTTGACCTTTCTAGTTTGACCTGTGATCTATTTTGAGTTACATAATTATATGTGTAATTATATATATAATTTTTATGTTAGATGTGACCTTCAGGGTGAGGTTCAGCTTTTTGCCTGTGTACCTCCAGTTGCCCCAGCACCATCTGTTGAGATGCTATCCTTTCTCCACTATGTTGCTTTTGCACTTTTGCAGAAATCAGTTGGCATATTAGTGGATGCCTAGTCTTTCTAAATATCAAAGTGTTCCCCTTTTTACCTTAGTCTTCAGCTCCACCTTCTTTGTTATAGCTCAACTTTGCCACTTTTGAACTGTGGTTCCCTGAAGAAGTTATCTAATTTCCCCTCTTCTGAAAAATGGAGATCACTAGAGCTTCAACCTCATAGTTTGCTATGAGAATGGAAAGAGATAATACATGTAAAAGGCCCAGTACAGTGCCTGGCACATAGTAAGCGTTTATACAATTTAGCTCATATCAGCATTATCGTTAAAATACAAAGAAAAATTACGTGGGCACTATTTTGTGTGTATGTGTAGGTCTATACCTTTGTGTGCCAGCGGGCCCTTGTGTGCTTCTGTCTTTTTGTTTGTTTGTTGGTATCTGTTTTATCTGCTTGAAAATTCTATGAGGTCAGCAACATATTTTCTGAATAATAGAATCAACAAATAACCAGTGAACCAAAGCAAGCATAAAATATTACTAAAGGATTTAGGACTGTTAAGTGTCTGGGTTAACACATTTCCTGGGGACAATTGTCCAACGCCATTGAGAACCTCAGAGATTAAAGGATAGAACAGATCTCAGAAAGAAAGATGTTGAGTGGTGTGTGGGCACAGTTAAAATGTGATATACTTGGTCCCTAAACAGACTTTTTTTTTTCCCCCCCAGAACCGTCTACAAGCAAAGATTACAAATAATAATTATACGGACCCTGACAACCTCATGTTTACAGATATCATTATCTTGGGAATGGACAAGCAACCTGCTAATTTTGTCCTCAATGATGTTGCTATTTCAAATGTTCACTACAGTGCGTCAACGAAGGTGGGCAATCGATCCACCGTGCCACCCTGCAGGGCCCTTGCCAGGAGCCCNAAATGTTCACTACAGTGCGTCAACGAAGGTGGGCAATCGATCCACCGTGCCACCCTGCAGGGCCCTTGGCCTGGCATTCTGACAGCCAGCTCTCCCTTGCTCTGTTGAGTTTGGATGGGCCAGCGCACGCTGGGAAGCTGACCACACCATAGGGAAGATGCAGAAGGAGAAACGTGCCTGCTAAGCACGGCCCACTGTGCTTGGTTTCAGTGGGACTCAGAAGAAGACAGTCCTTTCAGGGAGACCCTGGGAGAAGGAGCTCTTCTCTGGGCAGATCAAACTAGACAGGCTGACCCCACCTGTGACGTAGTTCAATACATTGTTGTTCAGACTGTACTATTTGATAACCATTGGCCTGGCTCTGGAGGGTCTTTACACATTTGCCCTCTCCTTTAAGTTAAAGACTCTTTGAGAGACAGCTGATATTTTCCCTTAATGTTTTAAGCAATTTTTGTATCATTATAGAAAATGAGGGTTAACTAAAACACCAGGGCTAATTGGTTTTGCCCTTATTGAACGATTCTCTTACATGATAATCTCGGATAAAAGATTCTAACTGTTAGTTGAGGATTTCAAGTGCTGGGAAATTCAAAATTCCTTAGGGAGGCCCCTTTGCATTTAGACAACACATAGAGCAAAGGTTAGGAGCCTGGGTCCTAGAGTTAGGCCGAAAGGGATTCCGGTCCTGGCTCTGCCCTCCCTTAGCTGTGAGATCTTGGGCAAAGCATTAAACCCCTTGAACTTCAGTTTTCTATCTTGTGCAATGGAGATAGCCATATTTTTGCAGCATAGGATTGCTTTATAGCATTAATAGAGAGAATGCATATAAAGCAGTTATCACAATGCCTGGGCCATATACATGCTCAATAAAACTTAGCTATTGTTATAACTGCCATCATTATTAAGATGTACCAGCATCACTCCCAGAAGGCTATCGTCTAACAATGACAGCCCTTCCTGTGACTGGTACCCCGTGATGATGGAAGCCCTTCCCCCTCAGTATTCCACAGTGACTCCATGAGGTGAGAAAGGCTGGGAATGAGCCAAGTGCATTTTCCTGACAGGCTATGCCAAGGCAAAGTGGGATTAGGTGAAGGCTATCCCATGGCAAAGTGGGATTAGGTGAAGGCTATCCCATGGCAAAGAGGGATTAGATGAAGGGCTAGCTCCCCCAGGCCTGACTTCCCAACCAAAAAGGAAGGACATTCTCCAGGTATCTCTACCTCTCCGTGTTTGTCACCATGGCCTCCTTTTTTTTTCTTCAGGTGGTGAAAATCAATGATCTCAAGGGAGTGAAACTGGGACAAGAATTCTCCATAAAGTGGAGTCTTCCTGTCAATGACCTAGAGAAGTTCAACTGCTACCCTGAGGAGCCTAATCCCTCCGAGGAGAGCTGCAGGCAGCGGGGGTGCCTTTGGGAGGTAAGAGTGAGAAGATTACCACAGTGAGCAGGAGGTTGTAAAAACTCCCGCAGGAGAGATTAGGCACCCAGAAAACACTTCCCAAACGTTGCTGGGTTGAATGGGAACCATTCATCAGGGAGAAACAATACTGCGCCAACGGATGCATTGTTTGGTCAACTCTGAGTGAGAGGTAATCAGTGTTTTCCTTCAACATCCTGAATGAGAAGCTCATTGCTACCCTGGCTCTCTCTTTCCTCTTACCACCTTATTTTAAACCCCACTTTTACTTGTAACATAGCAACAATGCACTGTGCATTGAGTATTTTAGGTGATTTTTTTTTTCCCATCTGTTAGAGTCCAAGTAGGAAGGTAAGGTATAAGTCTTCCCCTCCATTTGAAAAATAGAGAGATTGAAAGCCAGAGAAAACCAGTGATTTCCTTACTGTCACAATGGGGGCCACTATCCCATGGCAAAGTGGTAGAGCTTTGGGACACTGAGAGTGGAACCCTGCCTTAGGATCCAGTCTCCAGATCAAGATTCCTGCTGACCCTTCACAGCTAACCTGTTACAGGAGGCCTGTGTGTGTGCGTGCGTGTGTTCCATGGATGCATTCACTCATAATGAAGTACCATAAAGTAGGTGACTAAAAACTACAGAAATACAGGGTGTCCTCCCAAAATATATACACACACTTTGAATAATTACAAAGGTAGTATTTATTAACATACATTTCATTTGCAAAATTGAGCTATCAGCTATTAAAGTGTGTGTATACATTTTTTTGGGACACCCTGTATATTATCTCAGTGTCTTGAGAGCTGAAGTTCAAAACCAAAGTGTTGGCAGAGTTGGTTCCTTTTAAGGGCTGTGAGGAAGGATCTGTTCCATGCCTCTCTCTGAGCTTTTGGTGGTGTCCTGGCAATCTCTGGTGTTCCTTGGCTTATAAAAACATCACCCCTACTTCTGCCTTCATTTTTACACGGTGTTTGTTCCCTGAGTGCTTGTCTGTCTCTGTGTCCAAATTTTCCTATTTAATAAGAACACCAGTTAATAAATGGATGAGGCCCACCCTAATGACCTCATTTAACTAGGTCATCTGCAAAGACCCTATATCCAAATAGGGTGCCAGGTGTTAGGACTTAACACCTTGTGGGGGGGATGTAATTGAACCTATAATCAGGGGCATGTGTCAGAGACTTAGTCTGTGTTAACCAACTTCTTTAGTGATCAGAGCCGCAGAGTGTGGCGTGAGAGGCTGACCGAGAATTCCTCCTCTCATTGCAGGACAGAGCTCCTTCTAGCGTGCCTTCCTGTTTCTATGACACTATCCCTAATTATGCTGCCAATAACATTCAGTATTTGCCCGATGGCATCACCACAGACCTTACCCTCCTGGCGGCCCCCGAGTCGGCGCGAGCAGCTGCACCACCGCCGTCACCAGGGCGCGCTCGACCTCTATCCGCAGCAGCCACCGCCTCTGACCGGCTTTCTGAAAAGATCAGATTCCTTAGGGTCAGCGTGATCTACCACACGGAGAGCATGCTGCAGTTCAAGGTAATCCCCGCATTGCAGATCCTGGTCCTCAACACGGAGTTCTTGTGGGTAGAAGTCACTGAAACATCTTTTAGCCCAAATCCCTCATTCTAGAGATAAGATGCTGAGACCCAGAGAGGTAAAGGTCAGAAAGTGAGGAGACTAGAGCTGGGTATGGCCTTTGATCCACCAGGGTTGTCCATGTCCTATAGTGATGGAAACTCTAAGTCAGAAAGATCCTCAGTGAATCACTCCTTAGCCCTGAGAACAAGTGTCTGTTGTTAGGTGAACTCACATGAGAGGCATTGACTCACTTCCAACCTTACAGGTATTTCTCTAGCAGCTGATACTTCCACTAACATGTGTCAGAATCACCTTCAAATCTTGTGAAAACTCACATTGCTGGGCCTCGCCCCCAGGGTTTCCGGCCCAAAAATCTGCATTTCTAAGTTCCCAAGTGGTGCTGATGCTGCAAATTAAGGGGCCACACTTTGAGAACCACTACTCTGCTCAAATAGAAATACCGTGTGAGCCACATATGTTTTCTAATAACAGTATTTTTAAAAATGTATTTGGAAAAAATCAGGTGAAATAGACTTTAATGGCATTTTATTTAACCAAGGTGCTCAAATGTTACCATTTCATCATGGAATCCAAAGTGTTACTTTAAAATCTTATGATCATACTAAGTCTTCAAACTCTGCTGTGTCTTTTGCGTTTATAGTGAGTCTCCGTTTAGACACTAGCACATTTCAAAGGCTTAATGCCCACACATGGCTAGTGGATGCCACGTTGGACAGCTCGCACTAGATGTTGCTTTTCACATTTTAATGTTGGGTGAATTCTCCAGGGATCTTGTGGAAATGAAGATTCTGGTTTAGAAAGTCTGGGGTGGGGCCCGAGATTCTGCATTCTTAACAGTCTGCCAGGTAATATTGCTGCTTTGGCCTGAGAAACAGAATTTTGAGAAGCAAGGCTCTTGACAAAACTTGTCCTAAGTGTAATATGTGGGCTCGTACTATGAGAAAAATGATGATGGCTTGTAATGGCAATACTACCCGACCTTGCAAAGCACTTTGCCCGTCTCTGTTTGCCCACCCAGCCGTCCTGTCAGGTAGGTAGAAATGAGTGGGAGGTACAAAGGAGCAATCTTTGGAAAGGAAAAGCTGAGCAACATCTGGAAGCTCAACTAGTAAGAAGATCTCAGAGTTCAGTTCTCTAATTTCTAACATACGTACACGTGCCCGCTCATAGTCTTACGTAGTTGAATGCACATACGTGTTCAGATGCCACTCTCATAAACACAAATGCACATATTCTTTCTATGAGATTCTATACCTTTCCATGACAAATTCCTTAGAGGAAGTGCCGTCCCTGGCTTTGAATGGGTATTGCTGAGCCAGTCTTGCAGTTCAGGATCTGTGTTGGCCGCACGGGGTGGGCAGGCCTCACATCTATTTGCTTGGGGATGTTTGATGCCTCCTGATGGGAACTGAATTTTATGAGCTGGCCTGAGGGGTTTGGGTTTGAGATTCCATCAGAAAGTCTCCTTCTCTCTCCTTGTCAGATCTATGATCCCAAGAACAAAAGGTACGAGGTCCCAGTGCCTCTGAACACCCCTAGCTCTCCGGTTGGCTCCCCTGAAAACTGTCTGTATGAAGTCAGGATTCAAAACAACCCTTTCGGGATTCAGATTCAACGAAAAAGCTCCGGCACAGTGATGTAAGCATTATTTATTTGCTTCTAATTAGAGTGGTTCTAGATCTAATTACAGTGGTTCGAATTAATGCAAGTGAAATATTAACCTTGGAGACTCCATGTGTGTGTTTCCTTTTTAAACAGAGAGGGTATCTGTTCCCCCTACTTCAATGGGGATTTCATTTCCTATCGGTCACTAGTGCAATGAGAACAATTAATCAATCAAAGGTTTAAAAATACTAAGTGTTGCTTGATTTCAGAAAAACCAATGTTCTATTCATTGTTCTTGTTAAGTAGAACAGAAAACTCTATATGCCTCATTAGAAATAGTAACGGAAGAGTCAAGAGAGAGGGGCAAGTGTTAGTGAGGAGAGAAATGGAGCCTTGTAGTCTTGACTCCTATTGACACTGTAAACTTAAAGCCTTTTCACAGTGTTAAGCATGAAAGGAATTGTCACCTCTCATCCCTGTCCTGCTGCTGCATGGCATGAACTGAAGGTCTGGATTTTACCTGGGGCTGAAGCTCCCTGTCCTAATAGAAACTGTCACCTGCACGTGCACGCGTGGACAGCCTTTGGCTCTCTTTGACTATGTGTCTGACTTACTGCCTGTTGACTTCTTTGGTAAGAAGTCCATCGGCCAATCTGAAAAAGTCGTTGTGAGTTTCACACTTTCCTATTGGAAAATTTGCTTCAAGCTAATTCATTGATTCGAACTGATAGGCCAGGCGATGAGAGCTAGAAATGAACAGAGGAGTGAGGCTCTCAAGGGCCCATCAGTCAGAGAAGGAGTTGCCAGCCTTGCCACCCACGAAATAAAAATGCGAACACAGAACCTCGGTAGGCAGCCATGGCCATGCTTATGACCTTGGTCATGTCACAGCGTTGGGACACGGATCCAGGTGTGCAGTCACTCAGGAGGCTCCCGAATCAAGTAGGCGTCCTAAATGCATGCCCTGTGTGTTCTGGCCTGCCACCAGCTCAGCTCGAAGGTGTCCCTCTGTGTTGCAGTTGGGACTCTCAGCTCCCCGGCTTCACCTTCAACGACGTGTTCCTTTCCATTTCGACTCGCCTCCCCTCTGCGAACATCTATGGCTTTGGGGAAACTGAGCACACAACCTTCAGAAGGAACATGAGCTGGAACACGTGGGGAATGTTTGCTCGAGATGAGCCACCAGGGGTAAGCGCAGAAGCGTAAGATTATCGATCCGTTTCTCTCTGTACGAATTTATTTTAATCCATATATGGTACTCTACTCATCCGCTTCAGCTTATGTTGATAAATTCTGCTCTAAAATGAAGCAGGCCACCTGTTATGTAATGTCCTTCTGTCCCTAAATGTCTTTTAGTCTTTTAGGATATTTATATAATATATATAATATATATAATATATATAATATATATATAATACACACACAATATATATATTGTGGACTATGAATTTCATGAACTTTTATTGAATATACTCTATGTGTCAGGCACACATAGAATAAGACACTATCTTATTTAATAAAACACTGTCTTTTTCCTCCAGAGGCTTATGTGCTAGTGAGAGAGATGCAGAAATAGTAATAGCGGCACTGTCAAGGCTATTCCAGAATTATTTAATAATACGCAAAGAGGCATGGAGAGGGTGGCGCTTAGCTTTTTACTCAGGGTGGAAGGGAGGGTCAAGGACGTCTTCATCAAGGACATGACATTGTGCTAAATCTTCAGTGTTGAGTAGGAGTTGGCTGTTTAGGCTACAAGGTGGACAGAAGTTCTGGGATTTTCCTCTTTTTGTTACCCATCTCCTCTCCCCACGACTCTCCCAGTACCAGAAGAATTCCTACGGCGTCCACCCCTACTACCTGGGCCTGGAGGAAGACGGCAGCGCCCACGGGGTGCTTCTGCTAAACAGCAACGCCATGGGTAACGGACACCTTTCCTGGGACCACCCTATCAGGATCTGGAATATCAATAGAAATAAGGAAATTCGAGGGCAAGGGAAACGGGCCGCAGAACCCCACCTTTCATTTATTCACTTATTCATGATTTATTAAGACCTCTAGGCCAGCCATGGGGAGTAAAATTTTGACGAATCGTGGCCCGTACTTTTGTGTGACCTTGCTTTACTGGGCCACTCGAGTTCCCTTTCGCAGAGCAGTATGAAAGGCTGAGATTGAGATTATGTTTGGGGCACCTGGAAATCTATCTCTGATTCTACTGCATAAGAGAAGACTTTCCAGAGGAGGTGGGCACTACAGGCAAAGAGTGAAAATAGCAGTTATCAGGGCAGATCCCCTGTCTGGGTAATTTACTCTTCCAAGGATGTTCCTCATTTTTTTTTTTTTTTTTTTTTAATAGATGTGACGCTCCAGCCCACTCCCGCCCTGACATACCGCACCACAGGAGGGATTTTCGACTTTTATGTGGTTTTAGGGCCAACTCCCGAGCTTGTAACTCAGCAATACACGGAGGTCAGAAGTCATTCTATTCATTAATAAACCATCCAATGCTTACTGGGTATTGCGACATTCTTAGCACTGAGAAAGGCCAATTTTATTTTATGGCCCTTGAGTGTCCCTACTACGTTACTGCTGTCTTTTCTGAGGGTAGGGTTTTACTGTTAAGGGATATTGATACCCCATACATCTCTTAATTATTTGCTAAAAAACCTAAGAATGTCTAGTCAGTAACAACCACTGACTTTTCTGGTTTCTTAGAGCCGAAGGTCTAGAATAGAGGGAGACCCTCCATCCTTCCGCATCCCCATGGTGGTTCCAAATTTATTGGACTTTCTTATTTTTCTTGAATGAGGCCTCTTAGATCAGACAGTACTCAGCAGAAGCGCTCACGTTGCTTCAAGCCTAAGGCGACTATCTTTTCTTCCCGAAGAGTCTACTTGGACCCACTTTTCTTTTTTCTTTTAGTTGATTGGTCGGCCAGCAATGACTCCGTACTGGGCCTTGGGATTCCAGCTGAGTCGCTATGGATACCAGAGTGATACTGAAATTTCCAGTTTGTATGATGAAATGGTGGCGGCCCAGATTCCCTACGTATGAAGCCCTCACCCTGACTGTGGTTTAATTAGTTATGGGAATTTGTGGCTAATTATAGCTTGAAAAACATCTTCATAGAAATTACTGATGACTACTTCAGTACAAAGATAATGTAGCTGGGGAGCTAGTCCTGTGTGGAAACATTGCTTTTTAAATTTATTTCATGTCACCCTTTCTAAATCAAGGGTTTAACGTTGAAAGGCATAAATCCGTCAGAAGTTAGCAGAGGATATTGTTAGGTAGTACCTCTTGCCAGAAATATCCTACAGTAGCCATGGTTGGTCTTAAGCCGCGACTTTGGGGACTTCTAAGAGAGAATCGTGTCAAGATTATGACAGATTTAGGAGATTATACTGTGACTGTTTTTGGAGAGGATGGCTATAAAGTGGCAATTAGAAAGTAGTCACGTTCAAGCCCTCACTTTGACTTAAACACAAATACTCACATGTGCATATCCTACAAGGAAACCTAGCCCCTGCAAGTGCAGTCAATCGCTGTCCACAAGCCCAGTTCCACAAACTGCCTGCTCTTTCTCTCTCCTAACGATCAGTTCTAATCACACATTCTCCGCCTCTGCCTTTCCCCCACCTCCTGAGGTCTGGAGGACAATTCATGATCAGAAGATGAGAGTGAAGCGTTACCATGTTCTCATCAAAGAGCACTTGAAGCAGTCACCCAGGCTCTTTTTTTTCTTTCTTTTTATATACTACTGCACTAGACACTGACTAAATGTAAATTAGAAAAGATAGAAAAATTAAAAGATGGAAAAGATTCCATAGACCTATCTCGCCAAGGCAACCGATGCCAATATGTTAGTTCCTTCTTTTCCAAGCTTTGGCTTATGCACAGGCCTTTGCTCCCTCAAACAAGCTTCACCTAGAGTCTTAATACGGGTGACTATCACATTCAGGCCAAAAGGAAGCTTCTCTTTTTCCAACGAAATAGTGAGCACTTAGGTGTCACTCAACAACCTTGAACTGGGTACATCCCAGGTGCAGAAACCGAGGTCGGTTGGTGCTGTACTGAGAAAAGGGAAGACAAAGTTCTCATCTCAAAGACCACCCAGACCAATGGGGATGGTGGAAACAGTATACACACTTTAGAATGCTGGAAAATAATGCAGTTCTTCAATGTGAATAAATTCAGCCAGGTTTACTGCAGGAAAAAAGAGAAATCAGATATATGACATTTTCTGTTTCTCAGCGGAGTCCTGCCTCCTACCCTTGAACATGTAACTAGCACTTTTTCGGATAGGCTCGCTGCCTTCGAGGTTTGGAGAGGGGACACCACGAGAATTGAGGGGAGGAAAGGGGAGAGGATGCCAGTGGGGAGAGGAGCAGCAAAGGAATGAGAACAGGCGATCCTTGCGCAGGAATCAGGCAGCAGTTTTAATCAGCAGAACTGAAAGCCAGTCTAGGGGGGTAGGGAGGTAGATTCGGAGGGGCCTGGGCCGGGGTCAGCAAGCCACAGCCCTGGGGCCTGGCGAGCAGCGTGGGTGCCCTCAGCAGGACCCCTAACCCCTTGCTTGGCCCCCCTGCAGGATGTTCAGCATGTGGACGTGGATTACATGGACCGGCAGCTGGACTTCACCCTCAGCACCAGCTTTCAGAACCTCGGGCTGCTGATGGAGCGCACGAGGCCCAATGGCACGAGATTCGTCCTTGCTCTGGTGGGTGCTTGCAAAGGTTAGAGCTCGTTTCCCGGTTCTGTTTAGAAACAGCGCCACCGAGGGGAAGGAGATGAAGGGTACAGGGCAATTCGGGGCACGTTTTTGCAGCCTCCTGTGGACCTATAATTATTTTTTTGAGTTTGATAACGCAAATATACAAAGGAGGAAAGGACAAATTAAAAAGGCTTATGAAAGATGATACGTTACGATCTTTATTTTTCATGACTGGGTGTAATTTATTGTTACTGCTCTCTTGGTAGAGTTAGAAGAACTGTGGGCTAAAACACTGAATGTGGGGAAAAAAAGTCTCACTGTTTCAGGCTGTGCTTCCAATAGCTGTATCAGTCTCATCTTTACCATAGGGGTTTTAAAAACCTAAGTTTTATCATCTTCCAGCAATGATGAGGCTCAGGGGACTTATTTCCCCATAATTAAAGTCCCAAACAACCTAGTTAGGATCCAGAAAACCAATTTATTATTTTACATTGGACGTTGTATCTTGATTAAACACAGAAGTAGTTCCCTACAAAGACTCTCCCCTGCTAGCTTCCAAAAATTAGAGCATTATTTGCTGACTTTTGTTTGTTCATTCATTCATTCATTCATTCATTCATTCATTCATTCAAGTATTTATTAAGCACTGGGTCTTTGAAAATTACCATTATAAAAGGGGTGTGTGTGTGTGTAATCTAAGTTCATAAAGAAAACAATGTCCTTATAGGGACTATAGTCTATTATAATTTCGGGTAGTAATGATTTGTATGGCAATTGTGAAATAGGATACCATTATAGAAACTAATTGGGGCACGTAAGGGATGTAGTTAATGGGAAGGCCACTTTAGATGGACAAGTCTGGCCACAGAAAGAAGAGAAAGTTTCATGTTCTTGGAGGGTATTGCTATGACGCTGTGGAAACACGGTAAGTTGCCTTTCCCTGTTTGAGGGTAATGTCTTGCTAATCTGGTTTCTCTCCAGGAGTTCTTTTCAAACATTTGCATGTTTGTTTGTTTTTCCCCTCAGGAATTTTATAGAGAAACATCAATATATTCTTTTACCCCTCAGCTACCCAGTAGACATAAGGCAAATTATCCATGGTTGTGCTTTTTGTTTGTTTGTTTTTTTGTTTGTATTTGAAGTTCACTATTTCTTTCTGTACTGTAAATTGTTAAAATTTTGGAGATCGTTTTTTCTTGGAAATCTTTTTCTCATGTTTTCTGTTTTAAACCCTTTTGTTGCAGAATCCAGCCATTTCTGGCCAGGAGACCCAGTATCTCCCATTCATTAGAGGGCAGGAAAACAATGTATTCATCAAATGGCCTAACAACAGTGATATTGTCTGGGGAGAGGTAAGGATTGGGAGATGCCCGTAATAAATCAGCATCACAATGTCTTGATTGAATGAGCCTCTTAATAAATCTTGGCAAAATGTATTAGGTAATTTATAAATTATGAACGAGTAGGACTCTGTCTGATACTGATTAGCTTAATGAACGTTAATGAGACCTAGGTCGCAGGTCTAATCCTTTAAAATATCAGTGAGTTTTGTTTTATTGCCTGGAAATATTCTGGTGTCCCACCCATTATGTGTGCCTGCTGATTTTATTTATTTATTTATTTATTTAGTTAGTTAGTTAGTTAGTTAATCCTTGCCTGAGGGTATTTTTTCCATTGACTTTTAGAGAGAGTGGAAGCAGGGGGCAGAGAGAGAGAGAGAGAGAGAGAAACGTCCATGTGAGAGAGCCATTGATTGGTTGCCTCCTGCACTGCGCCCAGACAGGAGCCGGGGATTGAACCCAGATATGTGCCCTTGACCGTGAATCGAGTCCGAGGCCCTTTGGTGTGTGGGCTAACACTCTAACCACTGAGCCACACCGGCCAGGGCACCAGCTGGTCTTTAACGCACATAAATGATCCCTCTGAGAATGGCTCGGCAGCCTGTGTCCCTCCGGCACCCACACTCAAGACTTGTACCCATCTCTGCCCTATGATGCTTAACCAGCCTTCATATTGAAACAGGTCCCTAAATCTTATGCATTATCCCCCCTTTTTGCCTCCTCTCACTCCTATTTGGGGCCCCAGTTCTCATCCTCACTGTTTGCTTTATAGCAACAGGACTTGAGGTAGACGTCCTGACTCCAGGTGCCAGGAGCTCTCGGCCAGGACTCAGACTCTGCTCCGCAGTCACACTCCGCTGCTTTCCCTTGCTCTGGGCACACGCGAAGCTCACTGTGCCTTTGCACGTTGCCTTCTCAGCCGACGCAAATAGTATCTGCACTCGGGGCCACTCAAACATTCTGTCTTGTGAAGCATCCAATGCCTAGTTTAGCTCTCGATGTTCCTCCCTTTTCTGCATTGTTGCCTGCAGAGGATACAGGTTACAACTTAACCCTTAAGTTCCATCTTTCCATGCTTAGAAAACAAGGACTGCTTCTTACTTAAATCCAAGTAGATGCAGACCATAGAAGAGTGCCTGGCACAGAGAATGCTTCCTGAATGAATGAATATATATAGTTAATATCCTTCTAATTATGGATGAAATTGGTTGATAATATGGATTTTTTAATGCTACATACAATTGGGGTTCCCAATAAATTATGATGCTGCTTAAAGTATTGAGGCTAAATTTATAGGTTGTAAATGGAAATCGATCTTCTTTCCTTGGGGTCACACTTCACATTTGTTATTTATAAAGGAAATTCTGTTATAGGTCCACAACAAGCACATCAGAGAGTTGAGTCATCATTTGAAAGGTGGTTGTTCTCAGGATATATTTTAAATGGATTTAGTTGATCATTAAGTTAAAAAATTAAATTTTGATATGTTATGGAATGAGTCAAGAGACCCAGCCTGCTTTCACCCAGCAGAATTTCATACATTCAGACCTTAGAATTTAATGGCAAAGATCCCCAAGATTTTTATGGCGATGCATGTCATCAGAATCTAACATGTGGAACATCTCATTGCCTGCATGTGGTGCTTTTTAAAGGTTTTAATTTTTCTTTTTATTGTTGACACTATTATAGATGTCCCCCATTTTCCCCTCCTTTGCCTCCCTTTACCCAACCTGCCCCCCCTGCCCCAGGCCTTCCCCACACTATATTGTCTGTGCCCACAGGCTATGTATATATGCATATATGTCCTTTGGTTAATCTCTTCCTGTCTCCTCTACCCCCCTCCCTTCTGAGATCTGTCTTATGTTCCATGTTTCCCTGCCTCTGGATCTATTTTGTTCATCAGTTTATTTTGTTCCTTAGATTCCACATATAAGTGAGATCATGTGGTACTTGTCTTTCTCTGCCTGGCTTATTTCACTTAGCATAATACTCTCCAGGTCTGCCCACACTGTCCCAAAGGGTAAGAGATCCTTCTTTATAGCTGCATAGTATTCCATGGTGTAAACATCCCACAGCTTTTTTATGTACTCACTTACTGATGGGCACTTGGGCTGTTTCCAAATCTTAGCTATTGTAAATTGTGCTGCTATGAACATAGGGGAGCATATATTCTTCCTGATTGGTGTTTTGGGTTTCTTAGGGTATATTCCTAGAAGTGGGATCACTGGGTCAACAGGCAGCTCCATTTTTAATTTTTTGAGGAAACTCCACACTGTTTTCCAAAGTGGCTGCCCTAGTCTGCATTCCCACCAGCAGTGCACTAAGGTTCCCCTTTCTCCACAACCTCGCCAGCACTTGTTGTTAGTGGATTTGTTGATGGAGCCATTCTCACAGGTGTGCAGTAATACCTCATTGTGGTTTTAATTTGCATCTCTGATGACTAGTGACGTTGAGCGTTTTTTCATATGTCTATTGTAATTGTTTAGGTAGCTCTAAGTTGAGTGTGTTTGTCACCTGGTAGTTACTTTTAAAAAATATATATATATTTTTATCTTTATTGATTTGCGAGAGAGGAAGGGAGAGGGAGAGATAGAAACGTCAATGATGAGAGAGTCACTGATCAGCTGCCCCTTGCACACCCCCCACTGGGGACCAAACACACAACCTGGGCATCAGCCTGGATCTCCTGGATCATAGGTTGATGCTGAACCGCTGAGCCATGCTTGGCAGGGCCACCTGGTAGTTTCTCGGCAGAAGAAAAGATCCTNAGCCATGCCTGGCAGGGCCACCTGGTAGTTTCTCGGCAGAAAAAAAAGATCCCCAAATGGAAACTTCAACAAGCAACTAAACTGGAAATGTGTAGGAGGCAATCATAAGTAAAATACCTTTACACGTGTACCTTTAATGGGTTGCTTTGTTTGAATCTAAGGTTGCTTGAAAAAGAACAAACCAAGGCTAGAATATTTTCACTGGAGAGGTTATGAACAGACTGAGTTTCAATGAATTGTCCACATGTAAACCAGTTACGAGGAGTAATGTCTTTCATCTCAGCACTTGATGTCACATCAGCTTGGGCATCCAGCATCCCACCCACTCTGTAGCTCACTTTTCCCTGGATGTCTAGTCTCCTTCATTCAACCAGTGTAGGAAAAGCACCCGTAGCGCTAAAGTTTCATAGTTCAGACACTGACAGTTAATTTACCAATTCATATGATTAAATGTCCAGTCATAAAATGAATCCCTGCCCGGCTGGTGTTGCTCAGTGGTTGAGTGTCAACCTATGAACCAGGAGGTCATGGTTTGATTCCCAGTCAGGGCACAGGCCCGGGTTGCGGGCTCGATCCCCAGCAGGGGGCGTGCAGGAGGCAGCCGATCAATGACTCTCATCATTGATGTTTCTCTCTCTCCCTCTCCCTTCCTCTCTCAGAAATCAATAAAAAACATGTTAAAAAAAAATAAAATAAAATGAATGCCCTATTTAAAAGGGACTTAAGAGTATCTAACCTTCTAGGAAAATAAAGGGTTAAACCAGCCTTCCCTGATCTCTTGTGTCCACGGTAAAGTCCATGCGGCAGCATTGGCAGTGGCCGGCGTGGGTCAGGTCTCACGCTGAGGGGGCAGCACCTTGCACAGGCACGTGCTCGCCTTGCTTTGTGGTGTGTCGTCCCCCCCCCGCCCCCCCCCGGCCAGGCTGAGACGCAGCCTGAGAGTCTGCGTTACTCTTGCAGCTGTTCGGAGCGCGGGTCGCGCACCCTGACTTCCTGCGCAATGGCACGGCCGCCTGGTGGAAGAAGGAGATAAAGGAGCTCTACGCCAACCCCCGAGAGCCAACGAAGAGCTTGAAGTTCGACGGACTGTGCCTCGTAAGTGCATCCCTAGTGGGTTTTCCTTGGAAATGCTAGCCGTACAAGCGTGGGGAGGCAATTCAGAGCCCAGCAAAGCAGGCAGCTAGGGCTGGAGGAGCGAAAGAGAGGGATGCCAGAGCAGAATGGAGGTGCTGGGGCCACCAGGAGAGGCAGAGGGAGTTGCAGGTCTGCCCAGGGACGTGTCATCCGGAGGAATTTGGAGACTGAGGCGGAGATGTGCCCCCACTGGAGACGATGCCAGAGAGAAAGGCAGCAAACACCCTGGCTTCTCTTATCTCCCACCCTCCAGCCTCTTGCCACAGCCTCCCATTGGCCAGACCTACCCAGAAGCCAACAGTAAGGGATCCTGGGGGCCTGTCCTGTGATATAGGGCAGGACTGGGGGCAAGGAAGGCTGAGTCCAAGATGAGAGATGCTCACTACAGTGCTGGCAGAGACTCCTCCAAGGGAATGGCTTCAGAGGCCTGTTCAGGTATTTGTTCCACATACCAGTTGGGTGTAAGAGCAGGGCCTCCTGAGATGTCTCTGGGACATGTATCCAGGGGCTTTTCTATTTGTGTTTCCCTAGGGATGGGAAGCACAGCAGCATCCCAGTTTCCTTCCCTACTGCCCAGTGGCCTAAAATATGAGCATATTCTAGGCCAGCTCTGAAGGGCTCCCTGGGCCTAGACCAGGCTGCAAGGAGCCTATGATTCCCCCAGAGACAAAGCTCTAAGCCCACTGGCAACGCTAGGACTTCCCTGGTCACTCCCCTGCAGGATAGATAGGCACAGAGCAGAACACAAAGGGGCACAGATGGACCCAAACAGGCAAAGCACACAGTGAAGGGGTGTGGGGAGCTCTGAGGAATGGAGACATGGATAACTCTGGGCTGTTTGTTCCCCTGGAGGGAAAGCTGTGGCTGAATAACTCAGAATAGCCACCAGTTTCCAAGATACTCGCCTTGGCTCTGAGTGTGTCCTATTTAAGATAGTCCAACATTCAAGATTTTCACTTTCCATGGATAGAGCAGGTAGCGACCTTCACCCCAGGAACCACCATTTCTTGCATTCGGGCAATAAACCTCTGCAAGTATTACTGACCCAGACTCGTTTCCGAGTTACCTGCAGCTTTTCAGAGCTGCATCCACCGCAGAAAGTGAGGCCCTGCCCCTTGTGCTGCGACTAGGCCGATGTCTGGATTAGTCCAGCTGCTGCACTAAAAGAGGAGGCGCTCTTAGGCCGTAGATCCAGTGTACTCTCAGTATGCTCGCCGCTATGAAACACCCCGCACAAGCTGAGCAACGCAAACTAAACGGGGCGCTCAACACGCTGCTTAAACCCACGTGAATTCTTAAGAGTCCCTTTGGGTTGATGCCTGAGGTGAGCCAGAGCCCATGAAGCGACCAGTCTAGATAAGATCCTTCTGTCTCCACGAGGTCAGGGTTCTCCCACACCAAGGCCACACGGCCTCTGACATCACAGGAGCTTTTTTTTTGCTGATTCGTTTCAGAGTAAGAATGAGCCATCAAACTCTGTGGATGGATCTGTCCAGGGCTGCCGCGATGACACTCTCAATAAGCCGCCTTATATGCCGTGTACGTAGAGCTCGCTACCTTATTTCCCTACTCAGAAACCCTGCAAGTTCGCCCCGTGTTGGCAGAGTGAAGCCTCATTTTAGAGAGAGAAAGCGCTCGTAAGCATGAGCCAAAACCCCACATAGAATAACCTTGAAAAGTGCAAATGGATAAATTACAGACCAAGCATAGAAATAGTGCCTTGATGTGAGATGAAAGACACCAAGTGATGTGTGGGGCACCTGGTTACGTCGGTGACTATGAGCTAATTGCTAAAACTTTGAATAACCCCCTACATGCATGCACACGCACGTGCATGCACATGAACACATGCATGCACACATGCACATGCACACACACGTGCATGCACACGAACACGCGCATACACATGCACACACATGCTCATGCAATGCACACACTCTCTTGATTAGAGAATGAACATCTAGCTCTGCACTCTTTCTGCCTGCGTTCACAGACACTTCACGAGGGACACTCCCTGGTTGTCTTGTGATACAAACAGAAATAGAGAATCACAGGACCTGGGGATTAAAGGCATCTCAGGAAGGTGAACTCTCTCACCTTCAAGAAACATGGGCAGAAAGTAACTCA